AGATAGGAGGACAGTATCGTACATAGATATAATATAATTGAACTGAATAAAAAATCATTTTTATTATTATAATAAAAAGAGCTAAATAATAAACATAAAATTCATTTTACTATCATTTTCCTTGCGATTGTGTTTGATTTTAAATTTGTTCGATTTTAAATAAATCAAATTCCTCTAATGTGAAAAATTAAATAAATATCATTTTGCACTTGTAAGTTTTCCATTTTTCATAGAGTCAAGTATTTTAAAAATTTAATTAATTATTCGAGTATTTTTAAAATTCAATTAATGACGTAGAGTCAAGTATTTTTAAAATTTAATTATTCAAGTGTTTTTAAAATTTAATTAATTATTCGGGTATTTTTAAAATTTAATTAATGACATAGAGTCAAGTGTTTTAAAAATTTAATTAATTATTCGAGTATTTTTAAAATTTAATTAACGACAAATAAATAAAGTCAAGTATTTTTAAAAATGATTGTCGATTAAAATTAAAAAAAAATTATGGTGATACATTTATCTAATGATTTTAATTACGCAATCTCGTCTGAGTTAAGTCATCATCCTTTCTCGTCTTAAAGACACATCTGGCAAGTCGCGAGCTCCATAAGAATGAATAAGGTGAAGTAAAATCTTGCGACTGGTCCAAGCTGTACTGCATACACGTATTCTCTGGCGGATCAATTAGATCAGGTGAGATCAATGCGAGAGAGAGAGAGAGATGAAAAAGGGGAGAATGAGAGAGAGAAAGAGAGAGAGAGAGAGAGAGAGAGAGAGAAAAGTCGCGTTGGGGGCAGATGAGGCGAGGTGATACGAGGTTGTTCGGTCCGCGTGAGCGCTAACCGCTAACGAGTAAAAAGCATGAATGGACGCCAGAGCGGCGCCGTACGTTATCTTCCCTCCTTGTCTCTTTATTATTATTCCCTCGGCCTCCTTTGTCGCTCCGTCTCGCTCCTCGCTCGCCTGGTGCCATTCTCCTCCTTTCTCATCGTCCTCCACCTTCTTTCCATCTCCTTCTCTCACTCGTTCTCCTTTTTTCCTCGTCAGCCTCGCTACCTCGAGCGGCCTGTACCTTCCACAGCGTCCCTTTCTCTCTCTTTTCCCGAACGAGTTATCTCGCTCGATCCCCCGGGGATCAGGTTCTCCTGACAAAACACCGCGCATGAAACTTGCTCCTCGTGCACGTTTGAGGTGTACTTTTTGCATTGGAAAGCTCGCGAAGCCCGCTGTTTTTCCCGAAGGACTGAGTCATTGAATACTTTTAAGACGATCTCTCGAAGGATGACACATAGATTTGAAACAGATATTTCCAGGTCCCAAATTTCCCTCGTGGAAAATTTCTTGTAAAAATTCATAAAAGGGTATATTTTCAATTTATTTTGAATTATTAATTTATCATTATTAATTTAAATTAATTTAATTATTAATTTAAATTAATTTAATTAATTGTTATTAATTTAAGGTAGAAGAAAAAGAGATGATATAAAATGGAAAATTTTAAGTAAATTTTTTTGTGATGAAATATGGCGTTTAATATTAATAATATATTGCAAGACATAGATAATATCGTAGACATTTAACGATGAAGAGCATAATCAGTTTACAAACACGGATGAAATGACAATTTTTTCTTGTAAAAATTTATAAAAGGGTATATTTTCAATTTATTTTGAATTATTAATTTATTGTTATTAATTTAAATTAATTTAATTCTTACTAATTTATTATTATTAATTTAAATTAATTAAATTAATTATTATTAATCTAAGGAAGAAGAAAAAGAGATGATATAAAATGGAAAATTTCAAGTAAATTTTTTTGTGGTCCAATATGACGTTTAATATCAATAATATATTGCAAGGCATAGGTAATATCGTAGACATTTAACGATGAAGAGCACAATTAGTTTACAAACACGGATGAGATGACAATTTTTTCTTGTAAAAATTTGTAAAAGAGTATATTTTCAATTTATTTTGAATTATTAATTTATTGTTATTAATTTAAATTAATTTAATTCTTACTAATTTATTATTATTAATTTAAATTAATTTATTGTTATTAATTTAAATTAATTTAATTATTATTAATTTAAATTAATTTAATTATTATTAATCTAAGGAAGAAGAAAAAGAGATGATATAAAATGGAAAATTTCAAGTAAATTTTTTTGTGATGAAATATAACGTTTAATATCAATAATATATTACAAGGCATAGATAATATCGAAGACATTTAACGATGAAGAGCACAATTAAAAGCAATCAAAACAATCTTTAATTCCAACGAAAATACATAAAGATCGCAAACCCACAGAAGCGTACGTAGCACAGGTTTCTCATCCCAACGTTCATGCAGCAACCCCCTTGCTGCAACCTGCATTTCAAATACCCCGCTGCATCCCAGAATAAACCGGAATTTAGCCGTAGGTAGGGAAAGAAATCGGACAAGCAATCGAACGAGACATCAGGGAGCAGAGAAATATGCATAGGTGGTAGTCCAGAGACGATTCGGGAGGGAGAAAGAGAGAGACGAAGAAGGAGGAGGAAGGGAGACGAGAGGGGAGGCCTACGTAAGCCTCGGTGGTTGTGTCAATGTGTCAGAGAGACGATTCTCGCGGCCGTGAGGTTGCCTTTTATGTCCACGTAACTTGACGGGACCCCGCGGGCGAACCTCCCCGAGGAGGGGGAGGAGGCTTGGTGGAGGCGGAAAGGGGGAGGAGGGGGGGGGATAAACCGGGCACCCACGAGGGCATCAGAACCCGTTGCGAGTATTATCGGCGCGCGAGAAGCTGGACGCGCGAACGTCGGCGGAATATCAAGGAGCTTCTTTCCGGAGAACGCGCGGATGCCGCTCTGGCGTAAGAAAGGCTGAATGGGAAAGGGCGAAGCGGGGGAGAGGGGGAGGGGGAGGAGGAGGAGGCTGTCGCTGACGGAGGGCCTTGAAAGGGACTGAAAATCGCAATCGGTTGCGGAGTCCTGAATGGAGGAGAGGCCTGCCGAGTCGGCCTCTTTCATTACTACTCGCTTTTTCTCCTGGCTGGAGTAACGTTGCCACTGGCAGACGGATAATTAAAGAGATACGCTCGCTTGCGTTTTTGTTCGCCGCTCTTTAAGCGGCTCCTCCGATTGAGACAGATTCCGCGGATTAAAGGGTCTCCAGGAACGCTTTTCTGTAAATTGAGAAATGTCAATTTTACTCGATAATACAGTGAGATTTTAATATTACATTTTTTTTTTATAAAGATCGCTGTATAATTATTAGGTGCGCAATGATGCGTTGTTTATTTGAGTGAATAATCAATTATATTTTTATAATCAATTATATTTTTATAATCAATTATATTTTTATAATCAATTATATTTTTTTATATAAGTCGCGCTAAGTTTGTCCTCAACATTCATTTTTTCACAAGTCATAGTAGATTATTAACATATTTTATGAGAATTGATTGTAATTTATGAATCTCTGATTACATCATCATTATAAGAACGAGTTTGATTGACAATCATCGTTGACCTGGTGACAGTGATAGAAAATGCGCATTGAATTATTGATCTTTATCTATATAAGGAGATTTCCGTGCTAACGGTTATTTCTCTAGGAAACTTCAAATTGCGCTACACAAAAACTGTAACATATACAAGACATTTCTTAATAAGTGCGAAAGATTGTAGGAGATGATTCTTTGTCGAAAATTAAAGGGGGTTTTTTTATAAATATCCCTCCCTGTGGAGTTACACTCCTCCAAAAATGAGGTTTATTTAAAAATTAGGTTTTTATTTTTTAGATTTTTAGATTGTTATTATAATTTTGTTTTTGTTCCAATTTTTCCAACATTTACTCTAATTTTATTTTTATTTTAAAATTTAACTTCTCGTAATTCGAAACCTATGCTATTTAGCATCGTGCTGTGTATTTTATTTTTTTTCTTAAAAACTATTGATTTTATGAAAAAAGTAAAAGAAATAAAAAAGTTTCTAAATAAATCGAACTTCTTAATGCATATTTTTAGATGATCATATTCCGGCACATTAAGAAGTTTTAATAAAAAATTGAATAGAAGTTGCTAGTTTCATCTCCTTATAATAATACGGAAGGCTGAGAAAAATATTAATAAATAACTTTCTTACTAATAGAAAATATCCACCCAATTTCATTTCTTTAACTTGTTCCAAATTTGAGAAGAAAATAAAAACCTAATTTTTACCCCCATTTTTGGAGGAGTGGAACTCCATAGGGGAAAAAACCCTCTTTAATTTTCGACAACGAAACATCTAAAATTTTTTGCACTTATTAAGAAACACTCTTGGAAAAGGAAAAAAGTAGAATATTAGTTTTCACAAAAAGTAGAATATTAGTTTTCAGTTAAAATCTCAAAATTAATACATAATTGATAAAACATAAAGACCAACTGGAAGGAATGTTCCTCTCATCACGTATTGTCCGTTTCGTGGAAGGGGCATGATTTTGTCCACCGTAAATTATCGAGTGGGATTCCAAAGCGAATTCTTACGTGTGCACAGGGAATATCTTCTTTCTGGATTGGATGTGAAGAGAAATTTTGTGCCGATTCGTTCCCTTTGCTGATTGTCCCTTTGCGCGGATTTTATTGGCGAGTCGTGACATTCCGATGATTTCATGCTGCCCATACAACAATTTCCATTATCGGGGTCTGCTTCAAAAGTCGTCGTTCAATCGAGAACGTTGAAGAATCTGTACAGGATCCAACGTTTCGCCTCACATTCGAAATCAAGTTTGTTTCCGTTTTTCACTGTTAACGCCATTCGTTTTGATGTTCCCGAAATAAATCGAAAAAAGCTTGAGTAATTTATTTTGAAGGATCGATAATCATATTTTATTGCTCGTATGATTATCTCACAACTATAATAAAAGTGAAAACAGTACAATTAATCATAATTTATTGTTAACAATTTTTAAAAAACTCAAGTCGATTTATACTAATATCATAAATATATCATTAACTTTCACATTAAAATTCAATCTTTTTTTTTTTTATTCTTCTCAGCCGCGTTGCATCCATTAGTGCATTTTTTTAGAGAAGCTGCACTGCTTATCGGAATTTGTTTTAAGAGCCTTTTGCGTTTGTGTGCGATTTGCACGGAACAAACATCTTCACCGCACCGTTTTACTCTCCGAGATCGTTTCTTTGCTCTCGAGTGTTTCTTGCAGAACAGCGTCGCACCACTACTGGAAATCGTTCTGTAAATACAAATACGTGTTTTGTGTACTTATCTGAAAGTACACGCGAAAGTATTGCTCGAATGCATTGCCCGAAAAATCGGCAAATCGAATCCCCTGCAAAATGCACGAAATTCACTCTATTGGCCGATATTATTAATATTTTCTCAAGCGTACCTCAACAAAAAATGTACAGTTACCGAGAGAAGTTATTAAATATATATCTGATTTTTATCAAATGCATCGTGATCCGTTTGATATTATTAAACGTACGAGACATTTATTATTTAAGTGATAGTGCAAGATTGCAAATTAGAATAAATGTCTTGATTATATGACATATTAATGACATATCGATTGTTGGACTATTTAATGCTATCAATATTAAATAATCACATTTATTCAATTGTCACACAAGAAGGTAGGACAATTAATTTAATAAAATTTTAATAAATTTTTAATAAAATTTAATTTAATAAAAATTTAATTTAATAAAAAGACAAAATATATTTATAGAATAATTTGATCTCTCGAAATTCTGTCGAGTCGTTTGAGCTAGAAGCATAGAGGCCACGATACGTAGCAATTTTATTATTAGTGCCATAATTAATTTGCCAAAAGTTACGATAATTAATAATTAATTATTACAATAATTAATAATTGATAAAAGTTAGTTTTAAAAAACATACAGGTGAATATATTTTTCTCGTCTTAAATATAACATCGTCAAAAAATCGTGTCAACCGAAATAATAAATTCCATATTTTCATAACTTATGCATAGCTTTTATAATAATTAATTCGGATAATTGAGATCCTTTTGACCGATATTTCCTCGATGTTGAAAATAGAGCATTCCTTCTTGAGGATGTGAAAAATTCATTAAACGAAGTTCTTTGGCCGCGAGAAACGATCGATATTTCCCCTCGACGAAATATTATTGCGGTCAAATTAACAAAGCCGTTTCATCTTTCGAGATTAGTAATCTACTCGGTTGATTGCGCGTGATAATTTAAGGCAACACGAGCTGTTCCTCGCTAAATGCTTTACCGAGAATCGCGCTCTGTAAATAGAGAACGTGTTTTGTGTGCTTAGCTAAAAGTGCTCGAACTTGCGGTGTAGAGGGAAACCAAGTGGCTCATAGTCGCTAGTGAAACATACTCGATTTTAGCAAATCGATAACAGTTTACGTAAATGATGATGCAAGCACATCGTGTAATTAATTTTGTTGAGAAGATGTCGACAGATATCTGCTTGGAACTCCTCTCTGAACATAATTTAATGTGTCTTTTAAAAGGATTATTTGTTTGTTGTAGCAAAACAGAAGAAACTATACCATAATTTTTCATTATCGAATTTTTAATTTCACATCAAGCGAAAAAAAAGAGAGAAATTGGAAGAAAAGCCAGAGAAAATCTATTTTTTAATTATAATAAATTATAATAAAAAAAATAAATTATATAAAATTATAATAAAAAAATAAATTTTATTATAATTATATAAAATTATAATAAAAAAAATAAATTATAATAAAAAAAAATTAGAACGCGCTTGACAGTATTTTGTAGAATTTTAAAGCGATGAGAAAAATAGAAGAACGTATTTGTTGATGATTAACATGTCATCGTTTACATAAATATTCTTAGAACTTAGAACCAAATAAAATTGACTATATAATGATAAGTTCAAAGTCTTGCGCTGCAAGAAATCGTTATTAGCGTGCCGACGCACATAGTTTCCCGGGAATAATGGTGAAGCAATTATTATTCATAATGTGCATCATGATAAACAAAATGCGACAATCTGTTGCATTAAATGACATCAGTGGAAATTGATAAACTCCACGTACTTGCTGTCGCAATTTTCCCTTGAAATATAAAAGCCTAATAAATACAAATAAATAGCTTCACAAATATTTAATTATTTTATTATTTAATGATTATTTTTATTTTATTGAAATTTTATTCTTTTGAAAATAATTTAGTAGAAATAAATTTTACATTGATTTATATTCGGAGCGTGTTTAAAATATTTATAGTCGAATTTATTAAATTGGAAAAGCACTGCTCTATACTTTATGCAATAATTGATATATTCATTAATAGTCATATCACTAGTTATACATATATGTGCATATTGGAAAAGCGCTGTTTTAATTATGGATAATTATGTCAAATAGTTATATCATATATGTATATCGCACATATATATTTATACATTTTCTGACACGTATATTTTCTAAATTACACCCAAGATGCTATTCAAAATATTCGGAGTTATATAACACGAGAAATTATTCGCTCAAGGACGTGCGACAGATTTATTTTGCTCGTTAATTAAACGCGCTTCGCAAGTAGAATTATTTTAAATATTTCTCGTTAAAAATTGTACTTTTATATAATCGAAGCGAGCTTTGACGAGTTTAGACGGATTTATTCTGGCCGCGGACTGATTTGCGTTTGAAAACGCCTGCGAAACATTTATTTTCGCGAATTATACAACGGAAATAAACCGTGCGGCGGGCGGAAAAGTATGCGAAAGCTTGTGAGAGGAGTTCTTCGAAGAACCGGAATAAGCCTACGAAGTGCACATTTGATTAGTCAGCTCAAACATCGGTGGCTTGGGTCCAATTTTCGGTGGCAACACTTCTTATTGCTTATTTGCCGCGAGATGAAATTCCTCATCTTTCTATCTTTATTTGTTTGCCTATTTGTCTATCTCTTTGTTTGGGATAACTTACAATTTTTTTATAAAATTCCTAAATTAATGAAACGATCGCGAATATTATCCGCGATAATACTAATATTCCGATTGATTTTCACGAAATCTCTCTTTGGCAAAGATAATAATAAATGTATTTATTAAGAAAAATTTTATTATGTCCCTATAATAATGATACACAAATATCATTCTATATTACAATCCTTCGATTTTACTAAGATTACAAATTTAGATTATTTCAGGATTGTATTTTAATATAAAAAAAATTTTTTAAATAAAATAAAAATTTATTTTTTCTATAAAATATCTGCCTCTACAATCCTTCGATTTTACTAACAATAAGATAACAAATTTAGATTATTTCAGGATTGTATTTTAATATATAAAAAAATTTTTTAAGTAAAATAAAAATAAAAAAAAATTAGTTTTTATATAAAATATCTGTCTCTTACGATTCCACGATTTTCGTCTCGTGAATCTTCTTTTACGACGATTAATTTGGAAAATGAGGACTATCGAGCGATTTACATTCAGAAGGACTTATGAGATGCTTTAGAATGCTCGATACAAAAATTGGTCTGACGCAAGCGAGGCTAGTCGCAATTTCTCTCCTTTTGTTCCGGCTCGGCCATGCGCGGACAATCACGGTCAATTTATGCGTCATGATTCGCGCATTCGTAGAAACGATTCGCTAGCCGTCGGCGTTGGTCATAGGTCTCCTCGTATTGTGACATAGGCCGGTCGGGAATGTCGTTAATTCGCGGAGAGATCGGCGCGAAGGTCGACGCGCCGCTGTCTCCTGACTCGTATGGACATTATCATCCGGGAATGACACGACTCGTTAGAGCGTTACGCCCACGCGATCGCCATCGAACCGTTAACTATGAATTTATTCCTCGCAGAGCGCTCCTCTATTCCTGCTGTAATTTCCTTGCAATTATGCGATTTACATTTTAATTATAAAAAATAAACACCCATCCCTCTTTGCTTTTTAATTTAATATTATAATTTATCATTATATTAATATTATATTAATTTAATTAGATTAATTATTTTATTAATTTAATATTATATTATTTTAATACTATAATTTATTATATTAATTATTTTATTAATTTAATATTATATTATTTTAATATTATAATTTATTATATTAATTATATTAATTATTATATTAATTTAATATTATATAATACATATATTTAACACACAATATATTTTTTAAATTTAATATTAGTTAGAATAATAATTTTGTATCGTGATAATTGAATTATATTCTCTCGTTGGAAATATGAATTATATCTATTTTTTAATTGGCGCCGTGGACAGAGTAATTCTTGGATTGACATAATGTTATCTACCTGAGAAACTAAGAAAACTGACGGAAAATTCACGGAAGAATTCGAAGTATCCGAGAAGAATTCTCGACGTGAGAAATAGTATAGTAAACAAAGCGGTATACTCTGAAAATATTCGCGACACATGATATTCGGGCGAAAAAAATGTACTTGACTCGACTCGAAGTCGGTGCCAAGGCGAGCGTCGAAGACAAACGAGGCTTTCGAAAAATGTCACACTCGAGGACAATCGCGTATCCCTGCGAGGTGGAGTTCGCGAAATGGGGACGCGAGAGTCCGATCGGGAATGCCGTGGGCGGAATCCCTTTCCACGAAAAAAAAAAAAAAAAAAAAAAATCGCATTAAAGCTCGCGCTATCATCTCTCGCATTTCGCGTCGCCGGTGACGCGGCCTCAAAAATACATGCGACGCGAATTTTAATGCAACGAGGTGCAATCTCGCGGTAACCTTTGAGGACGCGACAACGGGAATCGAAGCCAAGGCGAGGCGAGTTTGCCGAGAGACCGAAAAGCTCGCGCTAGTTCAATGCTATAATCATTCAAAGGCATGCTATTTTCGGTACAGGTGGGTTCGCGGAAAAATAAAGCATATAAAAAAAAATTTTTGTATTAAAAAATTTTTGTAAAAAAAATCTATGTAATTATTTTAACGCTTGATGTAATATTTTTAATAATCAAATCTGATGCAAATTGTGGGTTTTAATTCCTTAATATGAGGATTAGCAATTTTAAAAAATGCAGATTTGTTTGAGAAATTCCCTTTAGAAGTGTAGATTTCGATTTTCTTAGGTGAGCAAATTTCTGCATTCCAAATTCAATATCCTCCATTTTCCGCATTCAATTCATAATTAATAATAACGTGTTGGTGAAACAAGAAAATTATTTTTTGATTAACTGTTCTAATTGTTTGATAATATTTTTAATAGTCAAATCTGATGCAAAAT